GGTGTGGAGTAGCAAGAAGGGCAGCCAGGAAGCGCCAGTCTCAGCAGTTTTCGGGCAGCCCAGGGGAGAGAAAGACGTCCCAAACTTCTCTTCCTTCCATCCAAGGCAGCCTTGTTTTTGCCACTGTTTTTCTTCCCAGCCCAGACGTGAAGCTGAGCAGCCCCTGAACTGGCACCTCGCTGGTTGCTGGCAGCTGAAAGGGAAGATGAGACACATTCAAGGGGAACTTTCTGCCCCCCTCCACACCACAGAAATTTGGGGAGGCGACGGGACGTTGCGGGAAGTGACTCTGCTCCCCCTTACACCGTTGTCATGACTTTGAGCGAGCCGGATCGGAAGCGCATAATTTTCTTCTTGAGTGCGTGAGAGGCCTTGATCTTGACGAAGACTTTGGGCTGCCCGCTGGTTGCCTTTCCTGGGCCAGAGGCCGACACCAGCTGTGGGGAGAGCTGCTGCGGCCACACGAGACCCCCACTCTCATCCGTATCGCTGGAGGCGCCGCTGCTGTACGGCGGTGGCGAGTCCCCGTCGCTCAGGCTGGACTCGCTGTCTCCGCCGACCAGGCCATCCTCCAGGCGGCACACGGGGGCCCTCCTGGCTGGCTCGCCCGAACACTCGGAGTCGCTGCCCGGATAGGTGTACCCTGCAGGGCCTGGCCCCTGTTGGCCCCGTGCCGGCTCCATGGTGCTGCCGGGAGACAGCTCCTCTTGAGAGATCTCAGCCGTCGAGCTCCACTTGCGGTAGCCGCTGTCCACGTTCCCCTGCAGCCGACGTTGGCGGGACAGTTTCTGTGCTGATTCCTCCCGGTCCACGGTCCCGTATTTCAGCCTGGACCTGTGCAGGAGGCTGTTCTCCGACTGAGACCTGGCCGCCTTCTTGGATTTGGGGGAGCTTTTCCTCCCGCCGCCCTTTCTCCCGGCCCCCTCGCTCCCCTCATCTGTAAAGCGGCACTTCTTGGCAGGGGCCGCAACCCGCGGCCGTTCCCTCACCAGCAGAGGGACCCTTTCGGGTGACAGTTCCACCGAGCGGCCTTTGGTCAGGGGTGGGGGCTTCTTCCTGCCCGCCCGGTTTGCCTGCTGGGCCCAGGGGGGCTGCTGAGCAGGGATGTACTGGGCTTTGACCATCAGGCAGCCTCCTTCCTCTGACTCGTAGGAGACCGGCTCCTGGCCACTTCCCCGCAAGGACCCGCCCTCCCTGTCCAAGAGAGGGGACGAGGGGTAGACAGTGTCGTAATGGTCTATGGAGGGAGGCCTTCCTTGGGCTAATGCTTGCAGTTTGGGGGGCTTCCGGAGATTGGATGGAGGCGGGTGAAAGTCCTCCACCATCGTCTTGGCGGCCAAAGTCCTCTCGGCCGCAGCATCCCACGAAGACCAGACACGGGCGGTGGTGACAGCCGTGCCGCCCTCGTGGCCGCAGGGCGAAGGGGTGCTGCTCCCCCTCTCCATGGCCGGAGGGTGCCTGCGTTCAGCCTGCAGAGGGAGCAGCTCCGGGGGTCGCTTGCGGAGGCTGCTCTGGCGCACCACGCCACCCTTGGCTGGCGGTTCCGAGCTGAGGCTCGTCCGGGGCTTGCTGCCTCTGACCAGCTGGCTGCGGCGACGGAGAAGGCGCGAGATGTAGCTCTCCACCCGCTGGCCCTGCGAAGCCGCCTCCGTATACAGCTGGAAGTCGTTCCCGTAGGCCTCCAAGTTGCCGTCAGGGTCCTCCGGGTAGGACAAGGCTCGGGAAGCGGCCGAGAAGGTGGGGTCCTCGTAGAGGGGGCTCTGGAAGAAGGGGCTCTGCAGGGCCACCGCATGCAGGGGGCTGGGGTACAAGAAAGGGTCTGGGGTGAAGCAGGCGGGCAGCGGCTCAGCAGGCTGATCTTGGGATGAGGCGTAGGGGGCTGAGAAGGAGCGCGGCATGGTGCTCCGTTGGGTCCTCTCCTTGCTGTTGTTGGCTACGTCCCCTGTGGAGAGCAAGAGAGAGAGAGCTGGGCAGGTGGGGAGCTGGACCCCCGAGCTCTGAATGCCAAAGCTGCCTCAAGGAATCGTCCTCACTGAATAGGGGCTCTCTGGGCCTGGTTGTTTTCTTGAAGACATTTCATTACTCAAGCTAGGGAACACCATCAGTCCTGATATTGTTGCCTGGTTAGGTCAAGAAATGTCTTCAAGGAAAGCACCCAGCTCAGAGACCACTAAGGACCACCATTACCATCTCCTCCTCCTCCTCCTCCTCCTCTGTCTTCATCTTCCTCCCCCTCCCCCTCCTCTTCCACTTCCTCCTTCTTCTCCTCCTCTTCCTTCTCGTCCTCTTCCTCCTCCTCCTCCTCCTCCTCCTCCATCATGAAACATCTACAAAACACCACCAAGCTTGGAGAGCTCCAGGGGCCTCACAGTCCTCCTCTTCCTCTTCCTCTCCCCTCCAACCCCACTCCCTTTTTACACTGTTGATGTATCTACTCAGGTAGTGAAACATCTGCAAGAAAACCACCAAGCTCAGAGTTCACCAAGAACCCCCACTACCACCTCCTCCTCTTCTTCTTCTTCCTTTCTCCTCCTCCTCCTTTTCCTCCTCCTTCTCTTCCTCCTCCTCCTCCTCCATCATGAAAGATCTGCAAGAACTCCTCCAAGCTCAGAGAGCACCAGGGACCCCATAGTCCTCCTCTTCCTCTTCCTCTCCCCTCCAATCCCACTCCCTTTTTACACTGATGACGCATCCACTCAGGTAATGAAACGTGTGCAAGAAAACCACCAAGCTCAGAGTTCACCAAGGACCCCTCCCTCAATCCAACCCTGACAGTGTTGGAATTCAAAAAATTTTTACGACTGGTTCTGTGAGTGTGGTTTAGTGGGCGTGGTTTGGTGGGCATGGCAGGGGAAGGTTACTGCAAAATCCCCATTCCTTCCCCCTCCCCGTTGACCTGCTTTCCAGCTCTGTTCTCCTGTGCAGGGCAACCAAAGGAGACCCAGCCGATCAGCTGGGACTCGGTGGGAGGCAGAGAAGAGATGGGGTTGGTGGGGCCAGTCAGAGGTGGGATTGGCCGGTTTTCTGAACTACTCAAAATTTTCGCAACCGGTTCTTAAGAACCGGTCAGAACCGGCTGAATCCCACCTCTGAACTCCGATCTACAAATATTCTCCTTTCTTAGGCCTCCCTTTCCCCACCCAAGACTAGTCGGCTGCCCATCGAGATATCCCCTTCCTCTTACCTACCTACAGATTTGGGGCGCTCGTTGGAATAACCAAGGCGGGATTCTGGGTGGCCGATCCGGGAATAGGAGCCGGATGCCGACGGGATACTGGACGAGGAATCTTCAAACCCGGAAGCTGGTGAATCGGAGGCCACTGCTGACTGTTGACCCTCGTGGAACCCTGGTGAAGAAGGGGCATCTAGGTCAGCGGTTGCCAACCGGTGGTCGGGCGAGAAAATTTTGGTGGTCCGCAGAGAAATGTCCCCCCCCAAAGCAATTAATCCAGGCTGCGCAGGAACACAAGGCTGCACCACCCACATGGCCTGCGGGAACACAAGGCTTGCGTCATTTGCATTGAGGGGGGGACTCGCCCCCCTCACCCCACACCACTCGCGCTTCTTTCTTCTTCTGCTTTTGGTTGCACGCAAGGAAAGCAGCAAAAGTCTTTCTTTCTCTCCCCCAAAACTCTGCCAGAAATGAGTCTTTGGGACCCTGCAAGGCCTCCTGCTCCAAGAGGCTGTGCCGGCAAAGACTCATTTCTGGCGGAGTTTGGGGAAGAGAAAGAAAGACTTCTGCTGCTTTCCTTGCATGAAGCCAAAAGTCTCTCTTTCTCTCTCCCCCTGAGAACGGAACTGGAGACGATCTCAAATAAAGAAGGATCGATCGTTAGGACAAATGGGGTGGGGAATTTTCCTGCAGAGATCTCTGGGGATTTTCCCAGGGTCTCTGGTCCGCGGGATTTAAAACGATGAGTTTGGTGGTCGCTGAAGTCCAAAAGATTGGTGACCCCTGCTCTAGATTACTGGCTTCCTGTGACCCCCTGACTTTCCAGCCGAGCAAGGAAGGCCAGATTTCCCATGATCCCACTTTTGACACCAACCATAGAAGGAGGGAAGGAGCAAGGGGAGACCCAACCAGCCAGCCAAGTCCGGCCACACCCAACGGAGGACGATGCGTCAGGCAGATGCCGTGCTTTCTTCTCCCCCATACCTGAACTAGGCCAGCTGTCTGTTTCCACTGCCTCCCCACACGTCTTCTCGTTGCTGTAGAGTCGCAATAAACCCATTTGCTGTTCCATTTCCCACATCAGGTCAGGAATGGAATCCTAGAAGAAGCAGACAAACCGTCAGTTGGTCCCTTGATAATACAGGATATTACTGCCTCTTCAGAATCTATAGTAGCGGGTATAGTGGCATGTATATAGTAGTCTCATAGTAGGTAAAAATTAGGTATACCCCTCATGCATCATCACAAAATCTCCAGAACTGTAAAGCCTACAAACTTGAAATTTGGCACCTATGTTCCTTTTGGCTTCTAGGGGCTCACTAAGGAAGGATTCTTTGAAATGACCATCAGAGCATTTAGAGTATTTCCTATAATATTATTATTATTATTATTATTAACACGCTCTGATGCTAAGGCGTTCTACTCCCCCTCCCCACCTGAGAAGAAATCTCTTCCAAAGGCAAAACACAAGCAGAGGAGTTTCAGTTTCAGTTTTGGTTTCACAGCAGCCCCAAGCAGCTTTAGTCCAGAACAGTTGAGCTAAACCACGACCAGGCTCCTTGCGGTCTCCTTCTTGCACACACAGCAAATACTGTTTTAGTTTCCAAACAGCCCTCAACTCTCTCCCACGCCGACAGGACGCTAGCCAGATGAATATCGAAGGATGCTGGTAGGCAGAGGCACAATTTTTCCCCCAGATTTTCCTCCCCAAAAACTAAGGCCCACCACATAGTTTCATAGCGAAGCACACGGGTATCCAGCTAGTTATTAATAATAAATAATAAATAATAGCATTGAGTATATATCAATGCTACTCTCAGTAGGTATATACTCAATGATTTGTATGCCCAATATATAATGTAGTAATATTTACTCAGTGTATGATTAGTACGTTGAGTAGGTATTGCCTCGCGGCGACAACTGCTCGATGTCCTAATCACTGCTGGCGCTGTCCTCTCTCCACCCACCCACCCCCAAAAACCAGGGAAATCAACACAATCTCCTAGCCCTGGAGACTCACAATCATTTCCTTCTCCCATCGCTCCCTACTCAAAGACACACAACTCTCTCTGGAGACACAACAGCACGACACCTCTAGCAGTAACTACTAGACCTTTTGGGGCGCTGTGTATCTTCTCCTTGATGTGCTCCCCCCCCTTTCCTTACAAGCCCAAGTAGATTCCATATGTGGGACCCCTGAGTGGTAGATGGGGTCAGCAGTCCACACAAGCATTATGGTGGTAGCCAGATGGAACATGGAGCTGCTGGTCTCCAGAAGTGTGCGTGTGTGTGTGTGTGTGTTTGTGTGTGTGTGTGTGTGTGTCTTTCTGTCTAGGGGTGGGTGTGTATATGTGAAAGAGAGAAAGGGACTGGGGGGGGAGGGGGGAGAGCTATGGGGCAGATTTTGACCTTCAGACAGATGGTGGCCCCCAGGGACAAAAAAACGATTCCTTTGAGAACATCAGTCAAACTCCAGACAGGAAAACAATGGGGTGAAATTCTCACCCGGCCCCAAATTACGTGTGTGTGTGTGTGTGTGTGTGTGTGTGTGTGTGTGCGCGCCTGCGTGGGCCTGTAATCCCAAAGTAGCATCTGTTGGCAACCACAAAGGTCTTCGGATGTCCCCATCCGGTCAATCTAACCAGAGATTTGCAAAGATTGGAGGAAAACACCACCAAATTGTCTGCTTACAACGTCCTACCTGTCAACGGCTACCTCAGCTTCAACCGCAACAACACACGGGCAAACAATAGATGCAAACTCAAAGTAAACTGCTCCAAACTCGATTGTGGAAAGTACGACTTCAGCAACAGGAGTGGTCAATGCCTGGAAGTCACTCCCTGACTCCGTTGTCACATCCTCAAACCGTCCCCCCAAAACATTAACCTTAAACCAGAGGTCTCAAACTTGGCAACTTTAAGGCTTGTGGACTTCAACTCCCAGAATTCTCCAGTCAGCTTTGCTTGAGCAAGGGGTTGGACTAGAAGACCTCCAAGGTCCCTTCTAACCCCATGGTTCTATGTTCTTATGGTCTATGTCCAACCCCTTGCTCAAGCAGGAGACCCTACACCAGAGGTCTCCAAACTTGGCCACTTTAAGACTTATGGACTTCAA